ACGTTATGATTTTTTTGCTTTTGCTTATTAGTGTTGTAATTTATTTTTTATTATATAATCTTTCTTTTAGTAATAATATAATTCTTTTGCTTTATTTGATTATCAATTGTTTTATAAACCGGAACTTATAATCTATAAGAAAGTGATATTCTATAGCATAATGGAAATAACAGTATTATTGATTATCTTATAAAAGATATATTATACGATATATAGAATGACCTCAATTATATAGTGGATGAATGCCTAAGGCATCCATCCGAACTAGTGTTAGGGAAGGTGAGGTAGGCATATGTGTAGAACACGTGACATATAACCTCAACTTCCAACATTGTATATATATACCGATCGATATATATATACTTTGATAACATCAAGAATAAAAACAAACCCTTCTTCTATACTATTAGTTTATTTTTGTTTATTTCTATTTCTATTTCTATTTCTGTTTCTATTGCTATTACTATTACTATTTCTATAATATTATTCCTATATAAATATATTCGAGTATAAGTATACGAGTATATACATATACATACCCCTATACACACCTCTAGTACTAATTCTCTATTTATTATTCTGTTTCGCTATCACTACCTAGTACTCATACTCGATTATAGAGTGATTATTGTATTCTGTACTGTTTCTGTTTCTGTATAATTGATTAATCTAATCTAATCTAATCTACCTGTCGAGAACTATAGTAGCGGGTAGTGAGTGGATTGTAGAAGAAATAGAAGGAAGGAAGATGGTGTGGAATGGTGTGGTTTTCTTGTACTACGGGCCTGCTGTTGGATCGGATTCTTGCATACATTCATGTTTGTCACGTCGTTTGTCACGTTGTGTTGTGTTGCGTTGGCCGGTAATTTGCTTAGTTTTGTTATGATTATACCTATGCTATTTGTTTGTTTGGAGGTTATAGATTATTTGATGTATATATGTATTTATGTATGTACGTAAATATGTGTTTAATATATAGGTAGGTAGATAGTTAGATAGTTTGCGGGAGGTAGTTTGTGGGAGGTAGTACAAGTACAGCAGGAACAGGTACAGGTACAGGTACAGGTACAGTTGTTCTTCCGAATGGCCGAGATTGGGTATGCGAATGTGAAAGGAAAGGTAAAATGTGAATGTGAAATGGGGCTTGAAAAACTTGATGTAATATGATTTAATAGAATAAACTAAAAGATTGGATTGATATAGATAGATAGATAATGAATGTTAATATGTGTAGAGCAGAGCAGAGCAGGAGAAGATATTCTGGGATAATATATCATCTATACAATATGTTATGAATAGACATACCTGTTCAATGTAGTTTAATATAGAAAATCGAAACAGAAGGATATCTTACTCGGCATGAGACGAGGTGAAGCGAGGTGAGGCGAGGTTATATACAGTGAAGCTTGATGATAGCAGGTATTCACGAACTATAATATGGAGTTACAGTAACCCCATTCAGAAAAATACAATCTCCGAAATCGTCGTTTGATAGATCCATCAGTCACTTCCGGAATTGAGGTGAGATTGGACTGCCTGCCTGCCTTTAAGACGGTCAGACCTCTCTTGTTCCGAGTTTGAGTTCCTGGGAGTTGGTGCGTGGAGATTGACGGTTCAGATTATAGGGAATAAATATTGTCAATATACGAGTAGATGTTTCTTATCTAACTTTCTTCTATGCTTTCATCTAGTCTATCTATTCCTATATTAGTCTTGTTCCGTTGTCGTTCATCGTGTATTATAGGCTCAAGCCAACATCTACTGCACTCGCAGCGAGCCTCAAAGTAAATAACGGGTGTTGTGGAAGGCAAGGATAATCAAAGTGAGAGGCAAAAGAAGCTCATTAATTCGTAGTTTCATTTTCTATGGTACACTTTCAAGATAGTACAAGGCTAAAAGGCAGATGCCCAGCCATGGGTATTTCCACTTTCAAACTCCTAGCAAAATCAAATATAATTTTGCCCATTAAACACCCAGCCTGTGTCCATTATTTCACTATGCAGGAGTATTTCCTCCGCTACCACTCTCAACTCTTCTTATTAGGTTCGGGAATATCAAAGATCCTTCTAAATCATCCATATCAGGAACATCACTCAGATCACTCTCATCGTCTGCACTGTCGTGCACACTGCCTGGTGCCGAGCTGTCCTCTCTTCTTGTACTTTGCTGGGGTGCTGTAAGGGGGAAGAATTCAATTCTGGGTGCAGACGAAATAAGGGGCGACGCATTCGAAGGTACAATTGAAGATGACGCGGCGTTTCTGGGACGTGAAGCCACGACAGGCCGAGCCGCTTCTGTGGCACGGTTGATAGAATGCTCGGCTCTTAGAATAACTGCCTTACGGTTGATACCAAGTTTGCGAGGTCTAGGGGGTTCGACCGTAGGAAGTGGAGCGGCGGCATTGGAGTCTGTATTCATAAGAACATGATTCAGACTCATTGGACCTGACGCTCTTGCTGCAGCTTCACCATCTACCTGGGATTGTTGTATGGCTGCTACATCAATAGCGGGAGTGTCCCTCACAACCTGAATGTAAAGAACTGCCCAGATATCATTGATCATATCGTCGATCGGAGTTACCTTCGCAAGACTATTATTGAGTCTCTTTAGTTCAATAGTCTCTCGAAGGGCGTCAAGAGCTGGGTGCGAAAGACTCCCAGCTTTGATAAAGTCCTCGAGGCGTTCCGAGTACGCATCAAACTCTACCTGGGAGATTCCTCTGAACACTTCGTCGACATTAGCAGGTATAGCTGCTGTCTTACGAATAAGCCTGAGATAAATTGTACAACATTCGTTCCAGACATCGTTGAATTTGAAGAAATCGACCGCTCGCTTTCTCACCCGCTTAGCTAATGATTCCATATTTGTCTTGTCATTGATAAGGAACAACAGCCTGGCCATGAATAGAGCATAACGTTGCATATAGACAAAATGCCTCCCTGGTCGTTCCGCTTCCGGTTTCCAAACTTGCATAGACATGGCCTTGGTGAATATAGACTCTCGAAATTCACTGCGGGCAGCACAAGCTTGGACATAATCCGGGTTTGACTCATCGTAAAGAATGTTAGCTACACGAGCAATCATGCGATGATGCCAGTGTGGTTTATCTGCATTCCGTAATTGGCGAAAGCATGCAAGAATGAAAATCTCCCACTCTTCATCGTTCTCAATCACGAAAGGATCCCCCTTTCGTGGGCCGTAAGGTTGATCCTGTAGAAGTTTGGCAGCATCGTGGAATTCCATTTCTCCACGCGCGACCAGCTTGTGAGTAAGAGAGACAAGCTTGTAATGCGGTTCAAGGATAGGCTCTTGGCTGCTTTTACTTGGTTTCGGACATGTTTCTATGGCGCGAACAAAAGTACTCAGAACCACATCCATGGTAGGAACATTGGGTGAAGGCTTGAGAGCAGATTCTTCTCGAGCGCACTCTATAATCTTCCACTGACACTTTCCCAGCATAAAATGATTCCTAGATATATCAGCATCAAACCTCACACAGATCCAAAGATAGACTTACATCCAGAAATCTGGTCTATCTACCAGAGAGCGCTTAAATAGTTCCGATGCATACTTCCACAACTTGCAGTGACTCATTTCCTCGAAAGGCATCTTCTTGTACATTCCTTCTGACCCGCTCATATGCTTTTCTTCCTCCACCCAGAACACTTCCATGGCAAATGGCTCTCGAGATGATGCATACAGACGCATTCCAAAGTCGTGATACATGTCGGAAAGTTTTTCGGCCGTTCCAAATGAACCATCCGCACATCGCATTGCTGTAGAGAGCGCCATGATATAACAATGAACAGAACATTTCTGCAACCGAACCAAACCTGCCCTATCATTGTTCATTTTATCTGCGCTCCACAATACCTCTTCCTCGAGCTCTAGATCATAGCATTGTGCGAGTCTGTACCAGGTTTCCCAATGATCTACAGTATATTGCAGCTGAAGCTTCATGAAATATGCCGCGACTTTTAAGTCATCTGTTTGCGAACCAGCACTCACTCGCTTTGTTGAGCGGTATTTTGTCAGAGCGAGCATACCCAAAAGATAATACCAGCCTTTGTCGGCAAGAGGACTTTCTGGGGTGTGTACAGAAATGGAGTCAATCTGAGCCTCGCCTTTGAGGGCTAGATACATATCAAGCGGACGGATAGGAGTCTTCAAATACTCCGTGATATTCCTTGAGTTATGTAACATCGTAGGCGACTCTTTAGGCTGGCCGACAGCAGTTTGCATCTTCTCAATTGTGGGCTTGAGTTCGTGTTTCATGAGATCTTTCATCGGCATATTATTCGCAAGTGAGATGACTTGCTCTGCAATATTCATGACAGTTCGTCGATCCAGAGATTCTATGGGACAGCCGTGATCTTCAAGAAGAAAGGTGCCGATACCTAGTTTAATACCATATAGGTCAAATAACACCTGGCCTAGATAGTCTTCCCATTTGTCAATGTGTTTAAGACGTGACATTTCTTGTTTCATCATCTTGAGAAATATCTTGTTTGAAGCTTTGCAGCACTTCCTCAAACCCAAGGAGTAGTGCACTAGGGCAAGGAAGTCCGCAAGATCATTATCTGGAGTCGGAAAAAGATCACGATTCTGAGTTGTAGCTTCTTTGACCATAGCATATTGTAATGCCCATGTTCGTACTTGCATTTCTTTGACCTTGTTGGCGAAGTTATTGAAAGTTCCATGCAGAGAGTAGGCCCCAACCTGTGGAACTGAAATACTTCCTACTCTGAGTTCGTCATCAAACACTGCAGCAGCGTGAAGAATACGGTTTAATTGTGCTAATGCAGCACACGTTGATTTGACATGACGGTCGTCAATAATTTCAAAACAGGTCGTAGCCTCGTTAAGTGCAGTAGTCAATGCTGGAACCAACAGCTGGTCAAGAGCCTTGAACGATGTCAGCATCTTATGGCGACGGGTCTCATCCTCGCAGTTCAAGTAGTCTTCACTTCTGAATTCCGCGACCAGAATCTCGATGCATTTTAAATTACAAGAAAATACCTTGGTCTTGTATCCGATGCTGGTATATGCTTCGCTCAATCGTTGCCAAAGGAAAAGGCGAAGTGATGTGCTCCCACTGTCTAAGAATTTCCACATATCACGCAAAATCGGTGGAGTGTTATCTCCATTTCTAGAGAACTCGCTATCTTGTGAGTCCCCAATCTCCATTTCTGCAGACTGAGATGTGGATTCTGGATCTAAGACTGGCTCGAGTGTTTGGATGATTGCTAACGGGTCGGACCTATCAGCTTGAAAGAGATTTTGAAAGAATTCCATTGTTGTCAGGCTTGAAACCTCTCGGTCTGCGGCAGAGGCGGAGATTTCAGTTATGATGGCATTGTTCGTGAGTTGAATCGGTGGTTTTCCAGCTTTCTTGAGGATTTCTCGAAGGTTGGTCCAGAGAAGAACTTTATGCTCGCGTGAAACTTCTTCGGAGCCCGTAGCAAAAACAACTGATGCCCACAAATACCTTAAAGACAGTTCAACATTCTGCTCATAATTCCGACTACGCATCATAAAAGCCGAGAAATTTGACCAACGATCAAGCCGATCCTTTGTCATAATCCTGATATCATACCCAACCATACTGTCTGTGTTAGTGATGCGTGTATAGACGTCAAGGTGAAGTTCGAATATTGTTTGCACCATCTCCTCTAGTTGTGATGCTTTAGCGGGATTTCGGCCAGATGAGCGGTTTGATTCTAAGTCCGACTGAACTCGATCAAAAACATCTGCATCGAGGAAACTGATTATTCGAACAGTGGCGACTTTTAGTTCAGCACTCCATTGTCGTTGTAAATAAGTTGCAAGAACAATACGCAGCCACTCAAAAATAACATCTTGTAATGGCATCCAGTCTTTTTCAACTTCTTGTGCGAACCATGATATCCCACCAAAGTCGGCGAATGGTGGCGGTTTGCTGGCTAAGTTTTGTGATCCCGAATTCGAATGCTCGAGGAAAGCAGACAGACCAGCATTCGCACTACCTCCAGAAGTTCCCAGAATATCTGCGGCATTGGCGTTCTCAAATACAGCTGCCTTGACTTCATCCCAAGATTTCATGATATCACGTAGATCTCTGACAGCTGTGTTGGTTCTGATATCGTCACGCTCAGTAGCTCTATCAACCGCCAAAGCTACTTGAAGGTCTTCACGGGTTCCTAAATCCTCAACGCCTAACTTCTGGAGCATCTTGCCGACAAACGTGAAAACATCATCGTCGGCACGAGAAAACGCCTTCAGTTGTTCAGCATATTGAGCTGCTGGGTCAACGGGAGTTTCAGCAGTACTTTCGCGATTTCTAATACGCCTGCTGCGCTTGTGGGTATTGTTGTCTTCTTCTGGGGTATCGCGCAGTCCGGCAGCAGATTGGGATCTTTTCCTTGTGGGCAAAGCGGTATCAGAGAGTTGTACGGTAGCTGTTGCAACAGCCTCGCCCGTTCTCTCATCAGAATTATTGGTAGTGGGCGTACCATTGCCAAAACTTTCGGCTACAGGAGATATCGTCATCACAGTATCGTTTGTTGGCTGATTTTGACTATGCTGTTCGCCTAAAAGGAGGTCAGGTGAGAAGTTCTGGTCTTCTCCTGGTGGCAAAGCAAGTATGATTCCAACAACAGGAAGGGACTGTGCAGCTCCACATATCTCGTGGCCAATAGAGGTCCATGACCTCTCTGGTACGCTGATAATTGCACGTCCCTGGAGAATCTGCACGGGTTCATGATTATCGATACTCAAACTATTGGTAAGATTCGGAAGAAATGGATATGGATCAATGTGCTTCTTCAAAAACTGCGGCATGGCTTTCTTTTTGAAAGGTCCCATTATTGGATGAGACAGAGATAATTCATCGGACAACACTTCGAGTACATTCTTCAATTGTTCTCCTGCAAAACCTTCTTCCAATGACTGAGGTTCAACTTCGGCAACCGTTGGGTCATCATCAACCTCGACAGCAGCCTCAAGACAGTATCTGGAAATTCTCCGACTCCCAAGCATGGCTCCAATACGAGCTGCTCGTCTCCAAAGCTCGGTATCTGACTCGTCACTTACCAGAGCACGTCCAAAATCATCCATTGAAACTTTAGCCTGTAATTCGAGTGTCGCGCGGTTTTCAGCATCATACACCAAGCCGGTCGAGTTCCGCAAGCGAGCTTTCACACAGTCCAGAATAAATTGACCGTGATTTTTGTATGCGAGGTACAGGATTTGTGGTAGTGTGCTGGGCGTACCGTCTGCAGCCGCTGGACCGATATCAAGCTCGATAGGTATGGCAGAGTCGACATACTCAAGTTCGGGGTGCTCTTCGAGTCTCGTAAATTCGGTGACGGCCTCTGGGTAACTAAAAATCTCCGATTGAAATAAATTCTTGTATGCTTCGGCGGCTTCTGGATAGTTAGGAAGGCCTTGAGCATGTAGCTTGAGCGCAGTTGTGTAGAGCTTGAGAGCATCTTCTATTTGAATTTCTCTTGTATTATCGATCTCATCATAGCTTTGATCGTCTGGTTCGATGTTTAATGCGGTAAACGATGCCATGTTGATTTCTGGCAAGAGAACTGCGATGTTGCAATGCTTTAAACGTGAAGAGACAATAGGGAGGAAAGGCTTCGTTGTTTAATATGTGCGCGTCGCCATGTTTTGGCAGATACAATCACCTACGAATCCCGATTTCTACTGCAAGATCAGAGTGATAGACTGGCGGAAGATGTGAATATAATCGGGGGATTCTTGTTTCGCGCTTTTGGCAATTCGGTAAAATGCGACAAAAGCTGTGGATTTTGGTTCGTTGGACCTTCGTTTGTGCGAGGAAGAGTCTCGAATGCTGGGCGTTGGTATGATAACAGTCGGCTTTGCTTCCATATACAGTTTCGAAATGACGAGGAATCAAAGAATTCACAGTGAAATGTGTTCAGTGAATGTTGCCCAAAGCAATCCATATTTGTGAGCTTCGTGATTAAGGTTAAGGTTAAGGTTACATCGGAGGAATTATTTTCCGAGAGGTCTGAACTTCGCCCCCATTATTGATTGGAGAGGTAAACATGGCTGGCACAACAAGATAGCTAGCTACATTATATATTGTCACTCTTCTTTCATGAACAGGATGTCCTTCAAGATGTCCAAGTCTATGATGGACAATACCGACACAAACCTCACTCATAGAGTAACCAGAATTAGATTCCCCCTATCAATTCTCCTGATTATAGCAGTCATTCTTGGTTTGCAGCTTATCATCCTTCCCCAATACATTTTTCAAGTACCTCCAGCAGCTGCAAAGCTTTCAGATCATTTTATATCACAGATTAACTTGGGACTCAATAAATGCCTAGATCTACAATCACTGCCCAGAGAATACTCTCCTTCTGAAATCATATCACGCAGGAATCCTAGATGGAATTTAATTCGTGGCCAGAATCAGACCACAGTCTTGAAAAATGCGAATCTATTCGATGGCGAGACTCTTCTTAGTGATTTTGTGGATATTATCTTTGAGAAAGGACTTATTAAGTCTGTATCAGCAACGACAAAATCTACTAATCGTGACCCTAATGTTCAAACGATCGACCTCGAAGGCAAATACGTTACTCCAGGTCTAGTCGACATGCATTCACATCATTTTTTGCACGCCTGGCCTGAGCTTTCTGTTACAGCCGATGAGAATGAGGTTCACATGGGTCCTCTTACCCCTTTTGTTCGTGCAATTGATTCTATCAAGACGGACGATAAGGCGACTGCTATTATTGCATCGGGGGGTGTTACAACTTCCCTTCTTATTCCTGGCTCGGCAAATATCATAGGTGGCGAAGGAATTCTTGTCAAAAACTTTGTGCTTGGTGGTGAAACAGGTGAAGAAGTCGTTGAGGATGTCTTGCTTGAACATGGTATCCCTACCCAGGAGAGGAGGAGATACATGAAGATGGCATGTGGTGAAAATCCTACAACTGTCTATGAACACACTCGAATGGGTAATGCCTGGTTGTTTCGAAAGCAGATGACACGAGCAAAGGAGTTAATGGCAAAACAAGACGCATGGTGCTTATCAGCTGCTGCGGCGCGGGAAAGTGGAGATTCTGCGACCATTTCAAGCTTCGTCAAGGGCGGAGGTTTGCCGGAGGACTTAGAATTGGAATCCACAATAGCAATGTTGCGAGGTAAAGTTGGAATTAACGTGCATTGTTATGAACCTGAGGACCTTGAAGATATGCTTCGTCATAGCAAAGAATTCGGTTTTCGAATTCAAGCATTTCATCACGCCCTTTCAGCCTGGAAAGTACCCGAATTAATCAAAAGCAGTGGAGAGTAAGTCATGATAGCAATTTCTGGATGTCTAGATTCTCACATACACTAGAAACATTACCATTGCTACATTTTCTGAATTCGGATTCTACAAAAAGGAAGCGTATGATGCCAACTTATGGGCTGGTAGCATCTTAGCCGAGCATGGTGTTCCAGTTGCATACAAATCTGTTTGATACCCGTATCATACCGAACATACTAAACCTAATATTTCACAGGATCACATTTTTGAGATAACTAATGCACAATACTTGATGTATGCTCCCTTCATTAATTTGGATCCGGAGCTCTCACTAACGAGCAGATGATCAGGTTCCAAGCAGCGACTGCACATGCCTTTAATCTTTCCGAAACTCTTGCTTTGCAATCTGTGACTAGTGTGCCTGCTAAGTCTCTAGGTATTGATTATCGTGTTGGATATGTTCGTACAGGATATGATGCGGACATTGTAGTGTGGGATTCTCATCCGCTCCTCGCTGGAGCTACACCTTTGCAAGTTTATATTGATGGGAAATCTACTTTAGACCCAGTTGAGGTCGTGAAAAATACAGCGGGAAATTCTACCGAAGAACAGGTATTCTTGAAACCAAAGCCACGGATCTCTCATACCGGTATATTAAAGGAAACCACATGCAGTAGCTTGGATAACTGGGACCAAAATATCATCGTGACTGGTATTAAGAGAAGCTATTTGATACCTCACCAGGAGAACTCGCTAGTTTCGAGTAATCTCACAATGCATATTAGTAACGGCAAGATTATCTGTCTAGACTCAAAGCAACAATGCGGTGCCCTGTTCAGCAAAGATGCTCCTATTATTGAGATTAAGCTTCAGGAAGGCACCATAATGCCAGGGCTCACTGCGTACTCTCCCAGCCTTGGCCTGGCGGAAATCCTCGGAGCTTCTGAAGCCTCAGATGGCTCTCTTGGTAAGACTTTGACTCTACTGGAGCCAGAAAATATTATCCAGGCGAAGTATGGAATCCATCTGGACGGACGTGGGTTTTCCAGGGCAAGACTCGGTGGCGTTACCCAGGCAATTACAGCCCCGATCTCAGGCTCCTTCTTTGGCGGTGTAAGTACCGGTATCAAAACAAGTGGAAAACTTAATATTCTCGATGGAGGTATCTTCCAGGACGATGTTGCTTTACATTTTTCAGTGGGTCAAATCACTAAACGTGAGTCCATCTTCAGAATGAACTTTTACAGGCATACTAAGACAGATATATAGGATTTGAGTCCTTACCAACAATATCTTCTGCCATAGCAAAACTGCAACATCTACTTCTCAACAATCTCGGCAAGGATAACGTATATGGCACTGTTTCAAATGGATCATTTCCCTTGGTGGTGCACGTTGATAATGAGGTGAGCTTTTCCCTCGCTTTTGCTTACATTTTTTCGAGCTAATACATGCGATTGCAGTACGACATTCTTCAGCTCATCAAACTGAAGAACGACCATCCATCACCCCTCAAATTGGTTCTTCTGGGCGGGGCGGGCGCTCATCTCGTAGCTGACGAGATTGCAAAATCTAAAACACCACTCATCCTCACCCGAAATCGTGGCGCACCCGATACATACGAAAAGCGCAACGCACTCTCCGGCCCTCCACTGACGCGCTCACCTGCTGCAGTTCTTGCGGATGCAGGTGTACTTTTTGCATTAGCAATTACAGGTGAAGGCAGTAAGCCTTCCAAACTCCATTTCCTGTCTTTCTTTTGTCAATTGCAGACGATCTAATCAAACTCACAGGCGAATCACATATCCACAACCTCGCAATTGAAGCGGGCTGGGCTGCCAAATACTCCAACCTCAGTAAACGTGAAGCTGTGGATTTAGTATCTCGTAATATTGAGAAAATTCTAAATCTGAATGTTGTGGAAAAAACTAGAGATTTTGTCGTGTGGGAGGGAGATCCATTGCAATTAGGGGCAAGTGTTGTATTTAGTATGGAGGGCGGAAAGGTTGGGACGTGCTGGCCTATATCGAATTGATGCCTAGTTGTTGTTGACCAATTATCCAACCAGCACGGCCATTTTATTTTATACAGATAACGGAAACAAGTAGTCCTTATTCTCAAAGTAGTATAGACCAATCTTTCCTCGTCAAAAGCTAAAATAAAGGCCAGAATTTATGTTTGCGAACACCATTCGACACAACGGTCTGCAGCATATGTGTTCCGGGTTGAATAATTTACTGACCCATCTAAAATTAGTAGTAAATTTCTATTTATGATCTAGAATCTCTCCTTCTACCACTGCTATACTGTAGCCTATCGGCCTTGGTACTACTGCATCGGCCCGGCCTGAAGTTGATATGGGCCGAGTCAGTTGATCATACAGGTATAAATACAATTGTTCATCGCGTATCTAAAAAATAGTATTCTGCATCATACAAACTTGCTTAATTATCGTGCTCATTCATTACAATCGAGAAATCATGGCCTCATTGCCCAAGAAACAACAGGAAGATACACTACCACTCAGTAGCACACGCTCGACCAGGTTGCCAGCGGAGAAAAGGGTGCCAAGCTCATCCAAACACTCAAAGAGGGACGATTCAGATTCTGAAAGTGGTAACCGTCACGGCAATAAGTCCAAGCAGCCAGAAGAAAAGCGCTCTTCTAAAATAAATCTACCAAGTCTATCGTTATTGCGTGGTTCCTCCACCAAGGAAGAAAAAGAACTTCAATTGAAATTCGAAAGACTACAAGCAACAAGGCCAGATGATTTCGCCTGGGTGAATGCTTATCAACCTCTTAAGCTATCAGAGAAGACGTTATCCGAAAACAAGCAAGCCCTTGAGAACCTAGAGAAGAAATTGAAGAGGATCTCAGAAGATATTATTGATTTTCAGAACATCATAATACCTACTTCTAGAGCAAAGCGCAACGCCGCGCAGAAGTTTTATTATGAAGTGCGGGACAAAGACGATGAAGTAATTCGACAACAGAAAGTTATCTTGGACAAGTTTCCAGATACCAATCCTTACAAGATAAAAGTTTTTAAAGAGGCGGAGAAGAACGCACTTAAGATTGAAAAAAGTTATAAGAAGGAGGAAAAGAAAAGGAATACACAGGAGGCCAAAAAGAAAGAGGATGAGAAAACAGCCACCGATGCTCGTAGAAAGGCAGCACTCGAACTTGACAAGGGAGCCGAGAGAGCGGCGTATGATAAGAAAAGAAGGAACCCAGTGATCTCATAAGGGCTAAGAAGGACTGCATCTATCAGAATGAAATAAATTGATAACTATAAGTGAGATGAAGTAGTATTTCTATTAGCGGAAAGGCAATGCAAGATTGACATTTCAATTTCTAAATCTTTATTGAAACTATTCAAAAATGTTTAACTGTAATATTTCAAGAATCTGGCAGTCTAGTGAAATAAGAAATAAGTAAACGAAGCGTCTTGCGTCTTGCATACAGGCAGAGCCTCGGTGATATCAATTGTAATCGTCACAGCTGATCTTGATGAATGACATGCTTAATACCTACATTCTTAACACTTTCAAACATATACACTCAATTGTGAGCTTTGAACAGTGACCAAAGACACCCATTAGATCTCGGGGCCATCTAAGAAGTATTTGTGTCAATTATTCTATCTCTCAAAGCAATTATAGTATACTATACATGATTTGTGCCAAGTCGAACTTTTGTTCCTATCAAGTTTTGGATATCAGACCCATCTTATCCCGCTAAGTTCTAAAATATGCAACCTCCACTTCCCACTTCACACTCTCAATCTCTCGACTTCTCAATAATCGCCTTTATCCTTCAGTACCACTACTTCTAAATGCCGCACATAGTGCAGCATAGTGATGTGTCAAGTCCAAGACGTTTTGCGGCAAGCTTGTTGCTTGGATGATACTCCTAACTTTCACGGCACCTTCATCCTCTATCAATGTTCGTATCGTGTACAACAACTCTGGCGAAAATTCCGAGTACCATCTATATTGCCAAGTTACAAGTCTGATAACACTGGCAATTGTGTCTCGGGTATTTTTGTTCTTTTCCAATTCAGCGAGAATGCCCGTCAATGCTTTGGGGGAGAAACGTATTTGGAGACAATTGCGATAAGCTTCTACAGCTTCGGGTTGATGATGAAGTCTATCCGCTAAGGAACCAAGGATTTCCCACTCTTCGGCCGACTTCTTGTATTGCATTTGCTGTGCACGATACTGAGCCATTTCAGTTCTCCATATGGTGTAGATACGAAGGTCTTCGTAAAGAACCATGAAAAGACTGTCCAGCCAACGCTCGCAAAGTCGTTTGTTATTAAACCGGGAAAGCTGTTCTTCGGTAGTCTCGCTCTGCTCATGTTAGCAAATTCATATAGAGATTTCGGACGTCACTCACATCTTCGTTGCCGCTTTTGACTTCCTCTGCCGTGATAGTATGTGAAGGCTTCTCTACAGAATCGTCTGCTCCGTTGCCATCTTCAGCACTCGGTTTGGGGGCTACCGAATCGCCATTTGTACTTTTTTCATCGTCGGAATGGTCATCGCCATTTACAGGAGGACCTGGACTTCCTCTCAGTACATCGGTGCTTGCAGTACGCTTAGTGGGTTCACCTTGTTGACCAACTGGTGGTTGTTTCTCGCTCCTATACTCCTCTTCCATGACAAATACATTACTCCTGATCTTGAGAAGTTGGTCCCAGCCAATCTTTGCTGTCATTTCTGTTAATATACTATAACCGTGCTTGAAAGTACCTTTGTACATAGCGGCACGTAAATTCAAAAGACTTGGATGGACCTGTTCCGATAACCTTGACTCCGGTTCACTATCAATCTCATCCAACCTGGTCTCAGGAAGAGTGGGGAGGTGGATTTCCTTGGGTTCTGGCATGATAGGAGCATCCTTGTCTTGATATGTGAACATAGGGCATGAATTCAAGGTCGTAAGAGCGTTCTCCCAATCCTCCATCGCAACATAAACTTCAGCTAAGCGTGCCCATGTTCCAAATTCGCTTGGCGCAGCAATAGTACTTCGGTCGGCACAGCCGAGGGCCATCTGCAATCTTTCCGTCTTGAATTCTGGTTTATTCGGGTCTAACGCCTTCTTTTTCAAAAATTCGGCTTGGGTATCAAGCATAACATAATCCATTGGCGATTGCTTCACAGATTCATGTAATACTCTAATGGCTTGTACCTCCTCGTTGCCCATGAACAGCACCTTGGCTAAGAGAGACGATACTTCAATATTTCGGGTTCGTAGCTTTTCGAACAGGTTAATCCCAGAGGCATACCGGCCAGTGGTTTGGAAGTATTTTAAAAGACCTGTTGTTAGATGATTCGAAACATTATTCGGAACTTGAACGATCGAATCGGATCCGAGCTGCCATCCTACAGAAGTTAGCAATGAATTTTGTTCTACCAGATGATGGCATACCTCGAAAGAATAACTGTTCGGCAGCTTGAAGAAATCGGTGTTCTGTCTCCGTTGTTGTCACCGGGTTGAATCTCCGAACTCCCATAATCTTTCGAATTGTGTCCCCGCTTCCATCATCAGCATATGAATATGCCCGAAGAACACTGCACAAATATGTTTCTAGCCATAACTCATCCGTGGTCGTCCTCTTATCGCCTCGTTCGTCGACGCAATAGCTTTCAACGCTTCCTGGAATTGTGACATGAACGCGCATATCGAGCCGAGAGAAGGCATTGTAACAACTGAGAGAGGTTAGTGATGCGCTGGGCTGACAGATTTCTGGACCGACCAATATACACCTTCCACTATCTTCGTTGTAGACTGATGATTCTCTTTATAGGTAAGGGTGTTGATATACGCGGCTAGACTTGCAGATGACGAAGCGTCAACGCCGGTTACATGATGATACACACCAATCTACCAGACCAATCAATCAACTTGAAAAGTACAGATAATTGAAGTATAGCATACCTGCTTTCCTGGATTTCTCGGCGCTTGCTTTATCAATTGTATCAGATCTGGCGGGCCCAACTCTCGTAGGGCTGCTAGAACCTCAGATCGCGCCTCGATAGATTCGTGAAGGACCTCTTCGGTGAGTCTGCAATGCTACATCAGTGAGTTCCTTAAGAGAGGGTGGATTCCACGATCCCCACAAGCTGTCTGAGAAGAAGGGGTGATCATATACATACTCAGGAACAGCTGGCGCAACCATCTTATCCTCTGACAAGGGCCTGTCTAATTATGTGTCGGAAGGTGTTGCTGATGCGAAGGTTTAATGATTCGGATTGCTTAAGAAAGAGCAATTACTGCAGATGTCTTCACTGCCGGAAAAAATCTGGGGCCGTTTAATGGTGAGGGGTTCTGCCGTTCAAACAACTTTATTGTTCGCAGACAAATGTAAACACCTCATCGGCTTGGAGCTCAAGCCACACTTCAGCCTCGTCAATTCATGAGATTGAGGTTTCGCTTAGTCAGCATTCTCCATTGTATATTTCAGCTCCCAACGTGATAATGAGTATCAGATTGCATGATGGGTATGAATTACCATTTTGTCCTTGCAAAGTTGGAAGGACAAATCTTACTGATTAAGACCATTTGTTTTGTAATGGGGCTCGCAAGAGTAACCTTGTGTTCAGCAAACCAAGAGTCTGAATGCATAGCTTCATCCCTTCGCAGCACAACCTTCTACGTTGCTTATGTTGTGACTTACGTTGAATGTTTTGGCTTCAAGATCTCTAGTATCTGATGGATTGTCCGCAGTGTTCCCAGTTGGATGCCTTATCGTAATCAGTTTTACAAGTTGGCTCCAAGAACTGCCTAATCGTAGGTTCGAGGGTACGGAGTTTCTGTCTGGAGGATTCGCAGCTCTTCTTGTAGTGATATTATACACATAACTGATTGTCCAATTATCTCCGCCAATTTTGATACTATAGGTGGTATTTACCAGGAATTCGTGCGTGGGTATGAGGAAACTAAAGTTGCTGTCTGCAAGAATTCCAGGACTTGCTTGCCTGTACTGTGGTGGTATGATCTACATCATTTAATGTCTAAGTAGTGACCTCAGTTTTGATATTATGGCGCTTAATTATCATTTAATTCCCAGTGAATGATACAGAAATGCCCAGGAGCATTTTAGATCGAAACTTGAAAATTTCTACAAGTCACTACGAAAGCGTCTGCACCTATAGCAGATGCTGTAAATACGATCTAAATCGGCGCCGTCGCTATCATATGTGTCTTGGTTAGATTTGAAAATGATTTTGAAAAACACATCACATCAGGAGTGTCTCCCTGGAGAATTTGAATTGGGCAGTTATTTTCTGTTCTCCATATCTTTGGGTTGCAGACTAGATTAAGATATGATGTATGGGATGTATGTAGAAAGTTCTCGTACAGTGAAAAACTAAGCCACGATCATGTGAGCTTAGTATGATAAGTCGTCAGTTGGTATGATCACGATATACCGGTATCGAACATAGGAGACTAAAGCTAGCTCGGTAAGAAAATGGACTATCGCGAGATTCGTGTATTCAAAGAGGAACGCAATCTTCGAACAGCTGTGAATTCTCAAATACACCTCAAGATGTTTTGAATGAATTTAATGTTTCGAACAAATCAAAAATAGAATCATGTGAACCCTTCACACGCCCGAATCTAATCTTTCTCTTCTTTATTCTTCATATATCCTTCCAGGCATTTGTTCTGTGGGAAAGAGACATAGTTTTATTTTCAGAAACGGCAGTGATAACCCAAGAGATATATTTAATTTCTTGTTCATCAATCATGACAACTTCATAAGCCATTCTCGATGTATGAGTCTAGGAAGTAAGTCTTTTTTAATTGGCCTTCTACGGTTGATGGTAAGAAGCTATGAAGAACACATTTTAAGTCTTAGACTAGTTCATGAAAACTATCACCAATCCGATCGCCTAATCGTGGTCAAGGTAGTGAAATGTGGGATCCAGTCCTTCATCGGCTTCCCACCATCGTATTCATCCTCAACGAAGAAGCATCCAACATTTTCCATTTTCCTTCCAGCCGGGTCGTCATTGTATCTGGGCCCGGCCAATGCCTCCTCCCTGCCAACTTTCGTAGCAAAATCATAGCACCGTCAATGATTTCTCTTGGTATCAAAGCCCTCTGCTCTGGGGTCCATTCGTCAAAGGCAGAACAACATGCGATGTAGCTCTCGAACAGTTTCTGGACTTCGTTGTTTTCCTTGGCCATAGTCCCATCCGTTCCTAGTGCAATTTCAGTGGCATCAACAAATTCGCCGAAGTAGCAGGGCGGGGTGTTTCGGACAAGAATTCGACGATACATGAGCTCGATCGCCATATTTTGCACACGAGGGATCATGAAATAGTCGGCGAGAAACCAAATTCGGGCAAGTGTGCCAAGATCGAGTGATTCTTCAAGGTTTAAGATTTCACCGAGCTTCGTCTCCTCTCAGGCGTCTCCAATATAGTTTTCAGTGTCGGAGGGTCCTGTAGAGCTAAAGCTTGCAACTCTGGAGTTTGTGGTGGGCCGGGAATTAAGATGGATTCAGTGTTCATGTACTGTACGATATGGCCGAAGATCTTAGGGCAGACCTCTTGAAGTTCTACGACTCTGGATAGATCTTCCTTCATTTTCGAGGCCAAATAACCGCGAACTAGGCAGGTTAGTATTGTGATGTTCGTGTCAACCACAAGCCTTTAATCGTCGAGTAGTAGGCTTAGCTCCCTCCAATGGAGCCTGCGGCTCCTAGTTGGCAAAAGTAATAGCATAATCTCAAGCAATCGCATAATCTAGAATATGTAGTGGTTATAAAGTAATTATCAGGTACCAGTGATCCTTTGATTTCTATACGATCTTTCAAGATTTTTTAAATTTTCAATTATAAATTGAAATAACTTTACAATTCTAATTTCTAAGGTTTTCAAATTTAGTAATTTGTTATTTCTAATAACTATTTATATTATATTTCAAAAAATCTAAATTTGAAGCAATATTGACAAAGCTATTCTTAGATTATATGTAATAATACGATTGCTTGATATTATGCGATTGTTCTTGCGATTAGGAGCTGGAGGCTCCGTTGGAAGGAGCCAAGTCTACTACTTGACGATTAGTGATTACTGCAGGGATTACCTACAGTAAGGAGAGTAGTAATCAAGACGCAGTTTCGAGACCTTGAACTCAGCATTGTTCGGCTCAATTCCTACTTTGATGATGATAGATTCGTCATCACGGCTGCAACATTTCTATCAGCATTTGTTTGTATACACATCTCACCGCTAAGGGATAGTTTGGGTCCGCTCACGTAAAATCGAGGAAAGGTCCCCCGCGCCGAAATTTCGTTATTAGAGTATCCATGTTGTTCATATCTTGAAGTCAGCGATCATTATCATTGTCATTGATAGGATACGCAAAACCTACCCAACACCCGCGGGAACTCATGGGTAATCCGTCCTGTGGATATTTATTCGGATTTTCCAATTATCTGCTCTATTGATGGATTATTTGCGGGTTATCCACCAGATCGATAATTTGCCCCGCGGGTACCCGTTGCGCCGCCGATCAATGACAATGACAATGACAATTTTTGCAGAGCTAAGGTTATGTTGAAATGAATAGATTTGAATTTCTGATGAGTTGAGTTTATTTTGAAAGACTTATCCGATCAGTTTGAGGTTGATATTGGTGGAAGTAGAAGTGTATGATATTATTAAGTGCGGAGAATAATCTATGATATAGTTGTAGAGATGAGCTAATCAGCGGATAAGCTATGTAATGCTAGCGCTAGTGCTAGCGAACGTACAGACAATAGCACATGTTCTAACAAATATAAGCGTTTGTGTTTGCTACGGCACTTGACAGTCACCTAACCGCCCGTACCTATTCTACAATCCTGATCTTCTTGTATTTAAAACTGCTTGTCCACTCACTCCTACCTATCGCGTGCATTTTGATAGCGTACTAGTGAGGATCAGGGTATGTTTCATGCTTGTAAGCTCGGAGAGATGACTCCTAGACTATGCCATATGGCAAGTTGCATATTCGGCAGAAGTCAATGGTAATGGCAGGCTAGCCATCACAATGTTTTGGTGACACTCATATGATGCCCAATATTTCATATGAGAAATAGTCGATACTAGCTAGCAACAAAGTTGTTGAAGTTCAACTCAGTTTGAATGGTCAATATTCACTGTAGTCCGTCCTATCGCACAAGAGCAGGACTTCCGCTTCGGCTTAGGTTATGGCTGATAGAAAATGCCTCCGCTATTGGACTACAATTTTTCCGTTCGTGAATCAATTTTCGACAGAGTTTCTAACGCAAAGCAACCAAGCGCGGAGTTTGCATTCATGCTGTGTATCCGGTTCAATAACGAGATGATGTTGACAGAAGCAAAAGAAGTCTGGTGAGGCTGTGCGCAAGGCGGTCCAAAATTTTGGCAACTCCTGCTCATAGGTCTGGGATTTTTTCGGCTTGTACCTCAAACCAAACGCGTCGCGTTTTATTTCCATCACACTTGAGAGGTTGATCTCAACTTTCAAGGTGCTCGTTAATTCAAATTTGCGCTAATTCAAGTTTGCACAAACGCCCCCTTCACATAGTCCCAAAATTTGTATATCACGGCTCCCTAGTTGGCCTTCCTGTTCGTCTAGTATTAAAGAACAGGGGGGTCAAAACGTAGAAGCCGACTGGTACTTCAAGTATCAGTAGGTCTTTTTGAAGAAGGGTTATAGCTTAAGGTTTACAATCTATCTGGAATGGAAGCTCAGGAGTGAGTTTCAGTCGGCACCATATGACATCTCATTACTTACGATACATTCGACATTTTCAAGAGCAGCCACGTTCCTTATAGGGCATTCACTCCATTTTGACGCCCCGGCCAACAATTCATTGCGTCCGACACAATCTTCCAGTCTTATCCTCCCCCCATCTCTCACTTCCCACACATGTTGGACAATAGAAGACGTCATCGCCATCATAAATTCTCTTTACCTCCTTCAACTTTGGTAGACTTTCACCATAGAAATCCTGCAAATATTTTGGATCTGATCTGTCCGCTTCGTTCATATAACATCCAGTATCAGGAGCCAACTGCTTCATCGCTCCGACTTTCGTGTATGTTATATCATCCTTGATCTCTTGGACAGTGACCACATCAGTATCTACAGCCCATCCACGTGCTATGATGTTGTGTACATATGAAGACCGCCATGCGGGATTTAGTCCTGAACTCTGATCCGGGGTGGAGACTTGACCACCTCCCACAAGGCAAATATAAGTCGAAGTAAATTGTCCTTGTGAACCGGCAGTTATGTTCAGCATCTCACCCAGTTTTGCTGAAGAAGATACTAAAGATGGACGGTCTAAAAGACGTGAGCCAGAAGCAACTGTTCCGGTTCCTGCTACACTTTTGCCACCTGAGAGAGTCTGGTAGTATGCCGCATAAGTTGGAAACGTCAGATATGTTGCGTAGATGAAGAGGCTTGCACTGTACTCCTCGAGTCTGGACATTAGAGGTACAAGAATGTTCTGGGTTTCGGTAATAGATTTCCCGGAAACAGCCAAGGCATGTTGGTAACCGGTTGTGAAATTTCCAACTACAGGTGCGTAGCTTTGTACTGCCCAGCTTCCATATCCAGAGATACCAGCATCATTGAGATCTGGATATGCAGCATATATCAAAGTCAGGGCCGCCATAAATTTTGGGATATGTGCATCGGTCAGTGGTGCGATGGCTAGTGTTTGGGCGGAAATCGATGTGGTTGGGTATGCTTTGACAATAGTTGAGACGACCACTCCGTATGTTCCACCTCCACCACCTCGAATGGCGAAGTAAAGATCTTGGTTCCGACATTTGTTTACAGTGACAATCTCTCCATTTGCAAGTACTACTTCAGCTTCGAGTATTTGATCGGCACCGAGACCATAGTCACGAGATGCAGGTGAATGACCTCCTCCTTGGGCCCATCCTCCAATGCATCCTACAGTCTATAGTACCATCAGTCTTATATCGGTCGTTCGTCGGTGATGGTAAATACCGGATCACCACCTCCCACAACAATCATGTTTCGTTTCGTGGCCTCTGCATAGACATCGGCCCAGACATAGCCTCCAGCAATCTTGAACGCGCTTCCTTCCCAATTCGAAGATCTGCAACCATCGGAGGGCAAATATTTTTTCTGGAAGACGATACCTTGCCTAAAATATCTAATCCAGACCTCCAGGCTGCCATAACCGGTAGATCTATGCGGAGAAGGATTAATTGCCTACGTTATCGGACTCGAGTCAATCCACTTACCTTCCCAACAGATCATGGCCAGTACTTCTGACCACTAACCTAATATTGTTCTTTCTAGCGAAATTTATTCCCCTGGCGACATCTTCGGGCGTCGTCGCATTTACAACATATCTAGGAGCATTTCCAATAGAGCAGTTTCCAGGAATACCACCTGCCGCAAAATCAACCGGTGGGCAAGTATTGTCAATTGGGACATCTAGGGCAATGGGATCATTTGCAACGAGCTCCTCATTTGAAAGTTCTTCAATAACCGTAGAGCATGCTTCCAAGTTTTGTTGTGGTCCTGGATAGCAAACAATCGCTGCGGGCGTCGCCTTGATCAGTTTCCCAGATATTGACGCATTCAGTGATTGCCACGAAATTTGGGAAGGCCAGCAGCCATCGGTTGGTCCCTATAACCTGTCAGGTATGATAATTGTATCAAATTGAGGTGGATGTACACATTTGCAGCCTTTCGAATATCCCGGTGCTGTCCTATCACCAACATCAGCCGCAGAAATGAGAGGCAACAAAGTAAACAGGTAAAAAAGGTGTTGAAGCATTTTTGAATTTTGTTGATGTATGTATGTTTAGTAGATTCTGGTTCAGCACCTCGGTTTATGCACAGAAGTGTTTAGTAGGATGTTCCATGCAATTTCATGTCATAAGAAACAGAAAGGGAAATAGACGTGCATATATTTCAGCCACCGGGACTTAGTTGTCTAGTGCTGACATTGATTGCAGATCGGGATTGTGAAGAATAGGCGTCGTGCAAATACGACCTCCCTGCCTTCTATACGAATTTTACTCTACATGCCGGCTTCCTTTCCATGGACGACTGAGACAATTATGCTTCAGTCCAGATCGGGGAAAAGCAGGTATCTTGGAACTTTAAATTGCGGATATCGGGAGAATTAGATTTCCTTAGCATGTCACGTGCTTATCATTAGCCGACATCCCCTCTTCCGCGCACGGCTCTTTTGTGCCCCTATAAGAGCTAGAATCCCCCGATGGTGTTGTCTTCAGAAGTCTCAGGTCTTCATCCAGCCCATCCTACAATTTCTTTCTCTCTCTCTCATCAGTTGCATAATTTACTAGCTTTTTTCTGTTTCAGGTTTGTTATGCTTATAAAATGAATAGCTATCGTTGATTGTACCTTGTAATCTCCTTCTTTCAAATAGTAATTGATCTTTGGGAATGTTTCTTTCCATAGGTCTTTCCGTTTCGGCCAGTTTCCTGCTTCTTCATAATGTGCTCTGCATTGTCGCGTTTTAAATCGTTCCCGTACATTGTTTATCGTTACATCCTCGGGGTCTATATTTATTCATCATTTGTGTAATTTCTTGTTCGTGACTGCCCAGCTTTCGTACTGGCGCAACCAAAGTTGGAGATTGTTAATTGACGCACCATACATCTCATTGGAATTTTAGTATCGGTTTAAGACCTAGTAGTAAATACCCATCATATTGACTTCCTTATGCGCATTCAACTGCAATTGTTCTGCATTATTTTACCAATTATTATAAAGTTTGAGTGCTTTGCAGTGGTACACCGCAAATTAAATCCAAGTGCTCAAGAATCTGAGACCCTTATTTACCAACTATGATGAAGTCATTATTGCATACATGAAAAGTCTAAATCTTGACCATCCGGTAGTAATAAACCCATGAGTACCACCCGATTCTACCGGAATTATCACTGCTTGATTTTCAGACGGTAATGGACACTTGCAACAACTGAGGTGCTAGAATACTCCGAGTCACTTGGCACCCACAACACTCGTCTAAATACTATTAGTAGGGAATTTTCTGCTTCATTTCTTTATACCGTGTACCATATGATCCGTGACGATGATATATATACGTTATCATCACGTCTCATCCGTTCTGTTCACCCAATTCGTCAATCTGGCCGATTGATTAGTCGGTCTTCCATCGCATCAACCGGGGTTCCCCAATTGTCATTTAAACACTTTATCCAAATGCGGTTTTCCTTCAGTTCATGGGAAAGAGTGCATTTGCAAACATTTGTACATATAAAATAAATAGACAATTGATATTTTCAACCTCCTTATCATAGTATCATCGATTTTTGTTCATAATTTTCAAGTCATGATGATGTAAAATATATGCCGAAGTAGCATGGAAAATGACGTTTGTTTTTCAGCTAGAAAAGAGGCAAAAGGTATATTTTCAAGACTTTAGTCACCCGATTAGTTAATTGGACGCTCCATTCCATAAACTCTCTCTCTGTCAATTGAACTTCGTTAGTACCTTCCTGGCTTAACAAGTATCCATGCCTATCAAAACATAAGCAGATGATAGCTGTAGGGTAGTATTAGATGGTATCCACGGGTAGATCGCCGGGTGCCCGATAATTGGCCCGTTGGGGCTCAAATACCGAGAAATTGGAAATACAAAATCTCATTAACAAATGTCTATGAAATTGTTGTTGTCTGCGCAGAATATCACTTCTTGGCAGGTCATTGTCGAGCGCCTGGGTCATACTGATTCGTGTATTTCTACAATTGCAGTCACTTGTGCCTGGTTAGGATAATACCCATAAGTCGCCATTGGCAAAGTATCAAAACAAACCATGCATCCATCCTCCTTAGGCCTCTCTTGAAACCCTAGGCCGGAACCCCAAGTAGCCCTGATTTTAGATAATTGAACATTTGCAACTTCAACTCCCGGAATCGCCTTGGACTTTTTTGCTCGCAAAAACATACATTAATTGAGTCAAATAAACGTTCTATGCAATGGTATTTCTCAAAAGGTATGGTCTAACTCGCCATATTACAATATCACAACTCTCGAATTATCAAAGCACTCCAATCAATCGTCTAGTCCCGCCTCACTTAATAGATCTTGTCTAGAGCTATGATCTGACTGCACCCAACATGTCATCATAAGAATTAGTATATTCCAAATGATCATTTGATCAGGTCTAGGTTCTTTAGCTCTATATACACGCGTGTTGGGTGGTCTGTGTTTTTTCTCAACACTCATCAGGGCGTCTAACGTTTTCGTTATATAAAATAACCTGCTTTAGTGGTTTATCATCTTTAGCGCCCTAATCTACTTCTAGTCGCGAAAAACCAAGTATCTCCATCCATGGTAATGATACCATAGCCATATACCGCGATGAACTATGTAATTTTGTCCCATTTGCACTACAATTTGACTCGCACGGTCCATACTCAGATGTACATTTAAGAGTCTCTTCTCCCTCTCTTTTTTATTATCCTGCATCTACCATCACAGCAGGGAAAGATCAGCCTGCTCTGATAGAGCATCTTTCCCGAAGATAAAGCCCGGCATAGCCTGTGGCAAGGTAAAACATTCATTCCTCCAATCTCCTCAAACAATCGCTAATTGAAATACAGTGAGCGATCAGTTTGGCAACTGGTCCTTCGAAATGATCCCGCATCGATCTCATTTCGACCTTGTGAAGCTGATCTCGTTTCGATTTCGGCTTCCTTGAAGTGATCCCGCATCGATCTCATCTTCTGCTGCGGCAACAAGGTTCCTCCTTCTTTTCAGCCATCCCAAACGAATTGATCCCGAATCGATCTCAGTTCGATTTTTTTCTCTGTTTTCTTTCTTTTGTCAACTTTTCTGTCTCTGTTTTCTTGGTTTTCCTTTACATCATGTTTTGTAATATCTGTTGTCTTCAAAATTTCCTATCTTTATGTTTCCTGTCTTCAATGATTTTTGTTTTCAATGTTCTCTATACTCAATGTTTTCTGTCTTCAAAAGTTTCTATCTTCATGTTTCCTGTCTTCAATGTTTCCTATATTCAGTGCCTTGGATGTTTATCTCTTGTCGTGTTATCTCTGTCTTGTTGCATCTCAAATTGGATAGAATTTGTGGGACTAGGGTGGAGGTGCATAGCCTTGGATGATAGATAGATATTGTCTATGGGTGGTTGGATGGGTGATGGATAAAGGAGGATTGATGGATGATAGATAGACAATGCTAGTTGATACTAGTTGTCAGTCAGTCATGCTAGGAATGGACAGAAACGAATGACAGAATTACAATTCTGTTCTCTCATTCTTTCTCTCTAAACCCGGTGATGCATTTATCTCAGTCCTCTCAGTCCTCTCTTACTAAAGACCACCATATCTCGCATCATCCAATCCAAAAAACTCAAGTACCTCAAGAACAGTGTTTGCGTTAGTATACAGTAGTATTATAGGAACCCGTATTAGAGATTTTATACAATATATCGTATATGTTGAAGGTATTCATACTAACACTTGTATATATTATTATCATTAACTAATACAAGGAACTAGAAGCAATATACAGAAACACTAGAAAAATACTGAAATTATAATTCAAAATATAGGAATAATCTCAAACTTCGAATATTCCTATATTTTTGAAATATTCAATATATACCACTGAATAGGCCTGTATACAGAACTTGAATACGGGAAATACTAACGCAAACACTGCTCAAGAACCTCAAGAAAATCCCATCTCTCCATTTTCTAAGCATTGATATAGTTGTACGTCCCGTTCATTTTTTCTCCATGAGTACCAACCCAAAACCTATATTCATACCAATTGAAAATCATTACTTCAATTCATATTGAACCTCTCGGTCACCTCGGAATTTTGAATAATCCGCTTTGTCTCCCCTGGATTATTTTTTACAGAAACACTCAGTGCAAAATGAAACGTCAAGCTCATGTATAATTCCTAGGCTAGATGCATATTTTGGATGTAATTAGTATTCATTTGCATTAATGATCATCGTTCGAAAGAGGATGCTAGATAAAGCACGGAAATATGGCTGTATTGCATACCTACCTTTCTATGGTGCCTACATTATCAGTAATTTTGAATGGCGAAAACCGTGGTGTATAGAATTATTTAGTTATCATATATAGAAATGATTGAATATTCAAGTCTATCTTTCTATTTATCCTTCAAGTGTATCACTATCGCGCTTGCAGATCCTCCTGCATTGAATGTAGCGTTATTACAAGTTGCCGCTCTTCAAACTGCTATACTTATTTCATTACAACCTTCTATAGTTATGTAACTTATAAGAAGTCTTCGACGAATCCTCCTTCCAATAACTAGCAGACTCCAATCCACTACGAGTCTTGGCAGCTTGTGAAGAAAATGGTGAGCTCCCTCTAAAGCTTAACGAAAGAAAGAGAGGTTCATCGAAGGCGAAAACTCTGAAGATATTTGCACCGAATCCTGTCGTATGAATACAGAGGAATCAGAGGAAGACTGATAGAGTCTGAACTTGAATTGTACTACCGCAGACGACGCCGTAATAGTTATTTTGGAAAGTTGGTATATCAGGATAGATTTCTGTTACAAAGGCATCTTGTAATGATTAGTGATTGAAGACTCCAATGTTTAATACTCCTAAAGACCACTATACTATACAGCATGCTATATAGATTCTAGATTATATCATTAGCACCATTTCTGCCCTACCCCATTTAAGTTTTCTCTAATATAATATAAAGTATTGCAGATATCTCAGTGTTTTGAACATACCGTATTGTATTCATCAAATTAAACCCAACAATGACTACCTCAGACAAGCAACTTCGGATAAAATCTCAAGAATCTCTAACTCGAAAATAAGAATAAGCATTATCATCTCATCTCATATTCCTTTCCCCAAATTAGTTTTGTTGCACATCTACAACAATTTTCTGAATACTTTAAAAGAAACTCCTTGAAAATCTACATTTAGCACTACAAGTCTCCTTGTTCCATTTTGAATTTTGGTTGAGATAATAAGGGTTGGGAGTCTATAGTTGTATTCTTAATACATCGGATGAGTACTCTTGTATTTCTCATTCTTGGACATATCCATGATGATGATTAACAGGTGGAGAATTTGAAAGAGAGACTGGAATTTGAGGGATTTCTACTTAGATCTAGATTATGTATATGTATTCATCCAAAGTCCACTACATTACATTGAAACCCTACTTACCTACCTAGTAGCTAAAGGAAAGGACCATAATGATTTCCATAAAAATTCAACCTAATTCCAACACTCCAAGTCAATACAATGAACCACATCAGTGTCTCTGTACACCTAGCTCACAAATGGATTCGAATCTGCTAATTGGTTCTTGCTAAATCATCTTTGATCTTGAGTTATGACTCATAGTTCGTGATTAACCGGTTTAAGAGACAACAAATAGCGATGGTTTGACAGAAACATTATGTAGATATACAAAAGACGACAAATAAATAATATTAGATGAGTGATAGTCAGATATTGCAGTCAAAAAAACCAGATCCTCCGAATATATCGATCCCAAGCCGTTCTATTTCAACGAATCTTTTTATCAAGTTTTGTAGATAGATACATGCTCTGCTTTCTTGATCGTTTGTAATATTCTTTTATTTTTATCATCTTTGGGATTATAGAAGGGCATATTTATATCCCGAGAGTTAGTTGATGACTCTTATATTCATAGATCAAGAACTGCAAGTATCATGGAACCGGGCTGCCAAAGTATGTAGATATTCTATCAAGGGTATTCACGTGTATAATTCCATTTTCATTTCAATCTACGAATCAAAATACATGCTCTCATGTATAAGATAAATCCCCTTTCTCAGAATATCCATATCCCTCAAGAAAATCAATGGCATGGCATTCCGAGCAGCAAGATAGGTTGCAAAGAAAAGAAAGAGTTTCTCTAGAAAGGAATCAAAGACAGAGAGAGAGAATGAAGAATGATAGGAAACGCGAAGCTGTTGGCTTGAGTTGTTATTCGGTATATAAACGAATATCTTATCTGATGAAGATGAGATGAGATGTGATGTGATGTATAGTATCACGATATTTACATTGACTAGTAGTCAACGATAATATCAACAATAATAATAACACTACAAATATACTATAAATTAAACTTCAAAACCAAAAATCGAGTAGTATAACATAGCATAGTATAGTATATTCGCAGTAGTCGCACTCTCACTCGTACTCGACTTTTCAAAACTCAAATTGAGAAACCAATACAATAGCTAATTAGTGCTATTACTATTCTAATACACATACTATTAACATTCTAACGAGATATAAATATAAAAAGATAACTTTAACTAAACTAATTCAAATTTCAAAAACAGTCTACCTGTCTTTCTTGTATATATATATATATGATAATCTCAATCTTAATCTTATATATATTATCTTATAAAAGAGAAAAAGAAAAGGGTTATCGATATGCTCGAGTGTATAGACCCAAGATTCATTTTGTTTCTTGTCTTCTTTTAAACACTAAAGCTTCGCGTTATAACTTATTTAACACAGAGAGGAGAAGTGAGAATAGATTTGATAAGTAGAAGTGGAAAGAGAAGGGATTTTTTTCCATATATATTATAAGTTGTATAATTAGCAGATGAAGATAAAAGATAAAAGATGAAAAATAAACGTCACGGTAGTAAATTCGATTTATTTCCTCACTGGCATATTATGTCTGATACAACTCCTCTTTTCTTTTAATCTCTCGATTCTCTCCAACTCACTCACTCACCTATCTACCAATTATCTTATACTACGAGTATACTAATAATACCAACTAGCAACCCAACCCCCCTAAACCAAACCCAGTCAATAAAAAAATATATATAAACACCCCTCGGACCTCCCCTCCTCAACCAACACAACAATCATTTCCACTTTATTCAAGTTTCCTAACAACCAATTATCTCATCTCACCACTTCACTCACCACTCTCCCCGGGCCCTTGCCCTCTTCCCTCTTAACTGTTTCACTATTTCACCATTCTCACGATATTTCAAAAAGGTCTTTCTTTATCTTTCTCGATACACTTTCCACCCCCTACTCCCTACTCTCTACTTCCCACTTCCCCCTCCCGTATGTACTCGTACAGCTCGCAGGGGAGACTCCCTACTACAGGAGAACAAGAACTGAGTTGGTCGAGAAACTAAACTTAAAACTATACCAACCTCACCAAACACCATACACGCTCTTCACCAGCCCAACTCAACTCAACTCAACTCAACTGATCAATAACGCAAAAGTTTTCCTTTTTCCCACACCACTCGTAGAACTTCGACATCACAATTTCCATGACCATCTCCCAATCAGTCAAACATGAAAATACAAGTCAAAGGAATCAAAGGCAATGAACTCTCCATTAATCTAAAAGATCATCGCACACTATCGTCTGTCTCCTTCCTCCACCCTACTAGTCCACACTCTACTAATCCACATCCTCAATCTATATATCCGATTCGATTTGATCCCTCACTCCTTTCATATTTCAAACCCCCATTCCGTTCCGTTCAAACCCATTGCATGCAAACCACCCAAATGGTATAATAAACACTCTCTTGCTCCCACCCTTCCACAGACGACAAATGTAGACGACCCAATCCATTCCATATCAAATCCATCACCACCTTTGAAGAAAAAAATTCAATAACTCAAGATATCAAGAACCCATCATAACTTCGTTTCGTAAAAGAAAATCCACCTTTCTTGTATCCAGAGCCCCAACTGATATTGAAACCCTAAACCCAATTATGCCTTATTTTGTTCCGAAATAACTTGACGGGTATGCAAGCAACCAAGCCAAGATATCTTTTTTTACTCTGCTCATCTCCGAAAAAGAAATATAGAGAAAAGAGAGCATGCCACGCGGTCCCTAGCAAACCAGAAAATAGTCGAACTGCAACCACTATAGAGTTTTCCCCCCTTCCCGAAATATCCCAATCTGTCATGCAAAGAGATATCAAATTCGCAAGCCATGCCACATCCATCCCACCCAAAAAGTCCCCCATATCTTAATCTTCATCAAAATCAGAACGGTGTTCATTCATGATTTTGTGCAACAAGAAAAATGATTGAAAAGCAAAACAAACGCAATCCATCCCATATAACCCCCTCCAGCCATTTTTGTGCATATCAACCCCTCCAACATTAATGAGAAGCCGACTGATGATCCAAATAACAAAAAGAAAACATAGTACAAGAAGCTTGCTTTTCGTAGTCTGCTCTCAACAGAGAGCAGGAGCCAAAAAGCAGGAAAAAGAAAAACTCTGCATAGTTACATTTCGCAATAGCGAGCCCAAAGATGGCTGCCATGAATTTTTTGTATAGCTCTGAACTTGGGCCCGAGGGTCTAAAAGACAAAATGTGCAAAGAAAAGGGGACAACCAGTTAGTAGATCATTCCCCCAAACCCTAGAAACCCAAACACCTGACCAGAAACCTTCCAGGTCCCATGCCAACCCATTTTTGAAAGAACAAATGAAATTTCTAAATTCGCTTGATGTAACGCCTGTAGATGTGTTTTGAAAAGCAAAGTCGTAAGATCGAGGCGGCCACCGGAAGGCGCAACGCAACTCGAGATCATGATGGTCGGACGTGAAATCCGTGTGGGTAGTTGTCGAGTAATCCTTGGAATCTGAGAAAAGGATACCAGGCGGACCGTCGATGACACCTTTTTTGTGAACGTGATATGCGCTTGAGAAGCCGCAGAAAGGAAATAATTGAAAAGAACTTTTGTGACGGCGCATTCTCGCGCCGTGTATATTCCCGGGTATAGAATTAAAGTGATCGATAAACATGTTGAGTCGTGCTCAACCAACAACAGTCTGATGTCCTCTGTATCCCATGAAGTGTGGGTACTTTGCTTTAGGGGCATAAGAGGCGTCCGAAGCTGGATGGTTCCAGATACTGTATTGATGAAAGTAATGCTGGGGGCTGTAGTGGTGCGGGCTGTGGCTGTGCGGGCTGTAGTTGTAGAGGTATTGATGATTGAATCGAGTAGACATTTGAGGCACAACATAAGGGACATTCGCAGCCGCAATAGCAGCGGCCCTATTGCGTGCTTCTTCCATATACGGGCTGTATGAACCCTGATTGTATTGGGGTGATGGACCATTGGCACTCGAATAATCTGGAGTAGTCACACCTGAATCGGGAGCAGACGGCGGGGTATGCTGAGGAGTAGGATATGAGTGGTTGGCCCAAGTAGGATGTTCGTAGTGAACGTATTGTTGTCGCTCTTGTGTGGCACTCTTGGGTCCCCTGTAAATTGCGTTGTACCCACGGCTTTTGAAAGAAAAGTTGGTATCGATTGGAGCCAATGGCGCAGGTGGTGCCGAAAGGCGTTGGAGAGTGGCAGCCTTCACCTTCTTACGGTCTGTAGCCCAATCCTTCCAGTTTGCCAACCAAGCTTGGTATTGTGGACAGTTGTCAAGGTCGACAAACAGTTTCCAGTTGATAACGTCCAGCCAAGTATGTTCCATCTTGTTGAGTTCGGAAACTTCGATGCCACTAACCTCTGACCAAGATTTGTTCTGAAAGGTATTATCGTCCAGGAACTTGCTTCCCAGAAGCAACCCAACTGTCAAAAGTCGCCACATCTGACCACCTTTCGTCATACCATCCACGAGTTTCAAATCACTGAGTCGCTTTGCGAGATAGTTCATGCCGAGGAGAATGGTTGTATGAGGAAGGCGAGTCGACGAAAGGAGTCCGAGAACGAATTTGCGAAAGTCCGGTGCAACTGGAGAGTTGGGATCAAATAGTCTCTGTGCCATTTCTGCCACATAGTCTGCCATGTCCTCGATCTGATATTCCAGATGAGCACATACACCTCCGGGTCCCATGATGAGCGAAGTTTTGATGGGTCCGACGAGATTCTGTGGAATCTGGTCGGTAGCAAGAAATTACTTCTTGCTCTGAATGAATCAATAGGAAGAGTGGGCTAGTTGATCAAGCAAGCAAGCCGATTGATACTACTGAATTCTGAAGCTTCGGATTGAATGAGGTCCTATCGCTGTGATCGGGTTGACAAAGGAGGTGTATTGAAAAAGCGAGGTTGAAAATTTATTGTTGTGTATTCGCCATCAATAGGTCTCTGGTCTAAGCAAAAGTTGATAAATAAATAAAACTTTTGTATGACTGAAAGGTTGACTGCAGGTGGGTTGATGGAAGAGAATATTTCCTATGTATGGTACGAGAATGGTCGAAGTGAGAAGTTGTCGGGCGTTTAGATAGCGAAACACAAACTCTGGAATGAATCGATCATGCAATGGTGGTGCAAGTGAATACCGAGTCCTGAAATTTCTAGGTTGATCCTTTGGGATTATTAGCAGATATTCAATCATGTAAAATTAGTTCCCAAGATGAAGTCTGTGCCGATTCTGATACACCAAAGAAAAGACTATGATGATGTTACAAAGATGCGACTGATTCTTGAATTGCCGAATGATATCGAGAAGACCGAAACCCAAAGCCCCCGGTGTTGAAATGGTAGGCAGAAGAATAGAAGGGTATTGTTGGATCAAAATAGATTATTTGACATATTCGAGAGATCAAGTGGCTATAATCAATACGAGATTCGTATATGTTGTCGTAGACTTATTCATGGTTGTTGTGGTGTATTCGGGATGTCGGAATGTAAATAACATGGCAGTGTTTTCCGGGAATCAAAACAAGTCGAAATGGGTGTGAAAAAAAAATTGTACGAACCTTTTCTTGACAATGAAGTCTTCAGAGGATAATCTTCTAATGAATTTTGAACTTATTGTTCCAACCAAGCAAGACAGGCAATTTAGGATCTATTGACCTTGTTGACCTAACGTCGAGATGGGGAGGTATCAAATTGTAAAATATTCGAGGTCGTGCGTGTATTTTCGGGATATATGAAAAACGAGGTCGAGAGAATAGATTTTCCAATAAAATAGGAAGGAGGCTTATCGAGAATAGAGGAAGATGAAGTTGAAAGATTTCATAAACTTCTATTCTGAACTTGACCAAAGGAAGTGGTGGTGGTGGTAGAGGGTGATGATGTTGATAGTGTCCGAGGAGGAGAAGGAGGAGGAGGAGGAGGAAAAGAAGTGAGGAGGGTTAGGGTAAGGTAGGGAAAGGACCCTGGGGTATCAAAAGATTCACAGAAGATGTGAAATAATTTGTGCGAAAGTGGAGAATATCAAAGGGAAAGGAAGAAAGAAAAAAGAAAAAAAAAGAGGATGACTGGGAAAGTGGTTCCTTTCCTCACTCTAAACTGTTACAAAAGAGTAAGTTAGTTGTGAGAGTGGATTTGCCTCGATAAAACGTTCCCAATTACAGCAAACTGAATGAATTTTAGAAGTGGAGAAGATATTTTTTCAATGAAAATTGATATATTTTGTATAGTAAACGGACTAGCCTCAGCCAACTGGATTAATTACAAGTGCAAATTAGTATAATTTTATTTTTATTTTATTGGTAACTTACTCCTCTTGCTCTTCTAAGTTCTTACTCTTTCTTTACCGATAGTTTATTAGAAACTTACTCCTTAGCGTATCGACTTCATTTGATAATGGATATTAAAGAAAGCCTTGAACTTTTATATAAATTTGAAGAAATTACCTCAATAATTAGCATTTATAACTTCAGATTGATAGGATCTTTCTTGGTTGGTATATCATTATCGAAAAATTGATTGAATTTTGGGGATTGTGCTTAAGAGGATTGTGGAAATAGAATCCCCGAGTTGATGATGTATGTACCATCTACCAGATTCACTTATTATACTCTGGGTACCGATAACTGTACTGTCGGTTCTATTATGTCTTCTTCATCTAGGTTGTGCTTCACTACTTGTTTAAGTTGAGGGTACCAGTAACACTAGGTACCGAATGAGATTTCTTCTTTCTACAGAACCACCCAAGACTCGAGTTCCATGATGCAGATTTGATAAAGTGGGATAATAATCAATTTTGATTGGTTAATTTAGGATATTTATGGATTCTATCCTCAAATTCTTTTCTTGATTTGTACTGTGTTGTACCTATCTACCTACCTAGTACCTAGACAACTTTACTCAAACCTTCCTTATTAATCCATTTCATTTATTTCAATCACCTTATCTGAGCCATCTCTAACCTTCAATATCCATCTAATCTCATTGGTGGGAGTGACCGATGACCGATGACCGATGACCGATGGCAAAATCAAATAGATGTAACATCGCTCATTCAAGATTCATGCACCTCCCTGGCTCATGGCTTTAATATAACCTCACTTATACATCAATCATGACATACATAATGTTGACACTTGTTGACAGGCTGATATAAGCAAGAGGATGGATGATGTTAGGCTACACCAGGACAACACCAAACTCGTAATCATTCATTTGAGCCATTACCGGTATAATTACATTACATCAATCAAAAAAATCAATCACTACACACACAAATCAGAGTCAATCATCCTTCAATCTAACCAACTTCCCAATTTGTGAAACCCTATCTCTTTCCCTTTCTTCCCTTTCCCTTCCCTTCAGTAATCAATTATCAATTCCACCGAAACAATTTCATTACAGAATTTTAACCTTAACTCTACCAATGAAACTCTGACCATTTTATTTTCCCAGGGATAACTACGGAGGAACTTGTATGCCAGCCAGCCGGCCACTTTATTTATTTACTCATACTATCCTATCCACCAGGGGAAGAAAACTTGACTTTACTTTACATTAACCTGTGGTCCTGTACTGTACATACATTGCCAGCGTGGCCATCCATCCATCCATTCCATCAAAGGATGGACCAGCTGCAATGCAAGCCCAAGCCTACCTTACCTACAAACCCACCTATTTTACTGGCCACAATAACCACATAAATCAAACCCTTCACGATGGATGACCCTTATTTTCTGGGTTTCGGGCTTGGGAACTTGGAACGGTTGGAAAAGAAGAGGTGAAAATGTTAAATGGAGACCCAGAAAAAGAAAACATGATGCCAGCCAGCCAGATAGAAGGGAAGGGAAGAGAAAAGAAGGGAAAGGGAAGGAAGGCTGGTAACAAGTGGTAAGAATGGATCCGCTATGGTTTGAATTTTGGCGTCTCATATCTAATCAAATCAAATGAAATCATCGCTTGTATCGATTCTTGTATAATGTATAGTATCGATTACCATCGACTTTACTAAATGATTAATTAGATTGGTCCTCTCCGAATCTCCGTGCTGTTCATATACACAACTTACCTAAACCTTACCTATTGAGTCTTGACCGACAATAACATGTTTCCAATACTGAGTAATGGAGGTTTGACAAAATCTCTTCAGCGCCAGCGCCAGTGCTATCTTGTTAGTTTTTCTAAGAATAGCACTCTACTTTTACTACTCGAGTAATATAGTAATAATAGCCTAGTACTACTAAAGGAATAATAATAATTTTCATTTTCTATTTACTATTAATCACTAATCATGAATATAGAATAACTCTAGTCTCGAGCCGATAGCGATAATATAACATAACATTCACAATAACACTTACTTTTTTCTTTCTTTTTTTTCTTACTTCTTACCTCTCATAAATCAATCTTCATCTAGTCTCTAGTCTCGCCTGGCCGGGCCGGGCCTAGTTTAGCTATACAAAGTTCAAAGAGTTCCAAGCCAACCAATCCCTAAAGAATAGAAGAAAAGCCGAGTTTATAACTGGGTACAAATCTGGATATTTTTTGGTATTTTGTCCTGCCACTCTGAGTATTTACAAGTAGTAGTGCTACTCTGCCACTCTGGAGTCTGGACTAGACAAGATAAGATAAGACAAGCAAGACAAGCAAGATAAAAAAAACTGGTCTGGTCTAGTAGCCATTAATGATTACTAGTACACAGATACGTTTTTTGAACTTTTAACCAAACCTACCTTAATTCTAGTATTTATTCTACAACTAGACGGAAGTCCGGCAAGCCCATTTCAGATGGGAGATCCGAAGAATGTTCTTCCTCTGCCAGCAGCGTTCTCCAAAATTCGCGCTACACATATTGAGTGACGGGGGCAGCATCTACCACCATTAATGATTAGGTAAGATAATAAATAAATTACTAGTAATAACTTACTCACAGGGAAAAGCATACTTGTACTAGGGAAATCCCGTTACAGGAACGCAGTGGGTGAAGCGGGAGTACCGTACTCAGTACAGTACGAGGGGAGTCCTAGATATAATATCACTTCCGAGGAAAAGCCTTTTGAATTTCGAATATAATATATACCCGTACCAGTAGGGATTTTGTATTCGAACGTTTTTTTTTCGAAGCAGAGGAAGGAAAAGAAGGAAAAGATGTCATGATGTTACATTCGGAAAGTCACGGATTGAATCTTATACTGCAGAACTGTATGTACTGGTTATATGGAATGGAATGGAATGGAATGGAATGGAATATTAAATAGATAAATGGATTGATGAAATCATGGATAAGAATAACGGTGTTGCTGATGTTAACTGATGGATCAATTGCTTGTCTAGACTTGTAGTGGTTGATGTATTACAATTGCCACCACCAATTCATCTTCATGTTCTCGTTACTCATATTGTACTCATCACGCCCTTGAAGAATATTACCGAATGAAGTCCGAATTCGAATTCGAGTTCTAGCCGCGCCAAAATCAATAATCTTCTTCACTACGAGTATAGTACTCTAATAATAATACTATACTATAGGTACTCGAGTAGTATAAATAGTAATTACTAACACCCATTAAGAAAAAATACCACAACTAGCGCCAACTATTTCAAGAACTCAAATCTCAATCTCAATTCAATTCAATTCAATTCAATTCAATTCAATTCAATTCAATTCAATTCAACAAATTAAGAAACATGAATATTCCTTCCTGTACGATGATGATGTTCTCTTCAAAGTTATATATGTACCTAGGTAGTAGTACCGACAAGTAAACCAACCTTGAAGCATAAGCATAAGCACAGGCACAGGCATAGAGCATAGCAAAAGGGTACAAGGTTTCGCGTATCGTATGCGTATGCCGCTTGCTGCAGAGGAAGTCCAGAGAGGCCCATGGAAATAATTCCAGGTGTAACGTAACAGTGTCACACAAGGCCAGATGAGAGAAACCATGTTTATGTTTATTTGATCGCCTTTCTGTTCTGTTGCCAGCGGGATGATTTAACCTGGAGGAAGTGGAAGTACCGGAAAAGTGTAGGTACAGCAGTAGGAGTGGAGGAGGGAAAAAGACCTTAAAGTCAACTGTTATTTGTATAAATTGTTTAGCTAATCGTTGTTTGCTTATTTATATCGGTATTTGTACTATATGATAATCTACAGAAGATGGTTTATTTGGTTTCAACTTTGACTTTTCTATTGATAATCAGTATCTACCGGTATTATAGTATCTCATAGGGCAACAAAACAACCTACAATCTTCTGCAGTATTCAGAACCTTCTACTCGAGTTACATATACTACCATAGAATTTTCTATAATCGGCTTTTCCTATCCTATATATCCATCCATCAATCAATCAATCAATCCACCTTCTTCCTCTATCTACAAGCTAAGTCTAGCTATTATCAAAGCGTTATTTTCTCTCCAATCACCACTACCACTATCATCATATCATCATATCATCATATGGAATCGAGAAGAATGTTCTCTGTGCTCTATATAATAATAATAGTCACGGTAGTCAGTGTAGTTGTATATACTACTAAGTACATACTGTACTGATAATATTATGGTTACTGATAACTTTGATAGCTTGATTGTATAAAAATGGTATAATATCGGTTCACTGTACTGTAATCAAAGTTGTCTTATAGATAGATATAGATGGAACTTCGAGAATTACAGTACTGTATATCATCATCATTACAGCTAGGCCACTGACTGTAGAAATATCCTACCGGTATATCTACATCTCCCCCTCCTCTCCCCGTCCCTCCCAGTCCCTCCCTCTCTCTCATAATATAAAATAATATAACATGATATGATAATCATCATCACAAATCATAATCTACCCCTCATTTGGGGGTCAACATTTGGGGGGTCAAATAAGGTTAACTTCGATTCACCCACGCTCTGAATTGAGCTATGTGATAGGGTACGGTATTTGTATCCATTGACAATGACATTAGGCTTCAATTTTTCAATACTACATTATATTACCCCGCTGACCTGCGCACAATCAATGCACATACTTAAGAATTGAATTAAGTTTCAAGTCTTGATATGGATTGGATGGAACTTGGAAGGAACTTTGGTGAGGATGAATGAGGGTGAGTGAGGGTAAATGAGGGTGATGGACGAGAGGGAATACGGAATATAGTACCGACCCGGTAATAAATCATTGGAATTGAAATGGAACGGAATGAAGGAGAGGAAGAGTTCGGGTTTGATATAATAGGAGATATGGTACAGTATTTGATATTAGTTCATTATATAATACTCGAGTAGTACTTGTACTCAAGGGATATATCAATATAGCCTACTCAGTAGTATGGCAAGATTAACAAATCCACTGAATGAATGTTGAGTTCTGATTTTATCAAGTTGAATAAATGGTTGTTGATGTAAAGGAGTGAAGGTAGGTAGGTGTGAAATCATAGGAAATGCCTTCCTTCACATAACCAATATAGCATAAGAATTATCTAATCATAGCATCACTATTCCGAGGGTTGCAAATTGACATTGCTTATTTGAATATAGCTAGGTATTGCTTTCACAACAAGTAGATGAGTGATAAGTTGCACTTCCTCTCCTTCCCCCCGTCTTTTTCTTCGCAGAAACGCCAATTTCTGGGCATCGATATGTGTGTGCAGATAGCAGTATGGAGAGGATTCAGATTTGTATCGCAACATTTTGTTTATGACATAACCTTAGTGCCAATCATGTGATGTTGTCTAAGGTTAATTACTCATCGTCAACCCTCACGCAGCTTTACATTCGACATTAATGGATCCTTCCAATCAGTCCCATCGCGCGCCATCTGAATCGCGTCCCGTCAAGGACATCCCCCAATCTACTCTCCCCCACCACAAGCTGTCTTCCCCATTTTCCGGGGGTCAAACACAGAGAATTCGTCAGGAATGTCATCTCCAGGCACCAAGAGAAAACGCGCAGTCATAGATGATGGCAGCGATGCAGGCTGCTCTCGTACTTGGGTATCAAGTACGTCTGACTTCAACAACAACAACACAAAAGCGCAAGTGAGGGAACAGTACAATAATAAATGCTGGCATTGTGGAGCAAGCCCTGCGGATGTCTGCCATGTGATTGGCAGCAGAGATAACACTGTAAGTAGTGCAGGAGCTCAGTGGACACCAATCTATTTTCGTTCCAGTTTCACGAGGCCCTTACACATGACTTCCAAGAGAAGCAAGACCCACAGAACGCGATCGCACTCTGCGGTACCTGCCATACGAATTTCGATCATGTTTATAATCCCTCATTCTTCTTCTTACCAACCGATCTAAATTACTTCCTCAACTTCGAGAGACAAGATCGAAAACGTTGTCGAAAACTAGGTCATCGCACGGGGACAACTCCGGCGCGGATGTATCCTACCGCACAAACATATCAGAATCACCAAGAAAATCAGGGAGTTGAAGGTGCTAGGCTGGGAGGGCTCTATACAAGGATTGTCATAAGCGACTTCCTTCCTCAATATCCTGGACGCGCTCCTTTTCAGCCCGGTGTGAGTGAGTATGGTGCGACAAAGTCATGGACGGGTTCGCCTATGGCATCTTTGCAGCGTGCTGTACTTATGCTACGGAAGCTCAATCTCAATGGGATTCCTCAGGAGATACGAAATGCTTTGCGACAATTACAAGATGTTTACAGTGAAGAATTGGATCTTGATGGCTCAGACACGAGTAGCATCGAGCCCGGTGAATCAGAGGACACCGATTTTGAGGAAGGGAGGGGGGAAATGTATGAAGATAAGAGAAGAGAACTTAGAGCCAAGTCGCAACAAAGCGGGGCAGAACAGATATCTGTAAGCGGTAATAGAGAGCAAGATGGTGAAGAGCACGTAGTCAACGAAGACAACGGACGCGCGCTCGCCTCAGAGGGTAGAGACCATTCGGAGGCGAATCTCGAAGTTGAATCATCAGACCCAATGCTATACCATCACGCTATCGATTTCGATTCACCGCGGTTCTGGCGTTGGGGACCCTCCGCGACGAGCGAGGATGCAGCGAAGTTCTTTCAGCGGGTATCGTGAGACCAATACATATGTTCAAATCGAAACATGTCCGTTAAAAATTCTTGTAAGCCGCAACCCTTTCATCATCCCAAGAACATGACGAAGACTCTCTTTAACGCACAAAGTTCATAATTGAATGTTGCCCTCTGGGTAAGCAACCTCTTGGAGAAGGCCCTATACATAGAGATGAGATACTTCTGAAATGAAACTGGGACACGCATGGCACAGTTCTTGATCCTTTTGAGCTTCAAGAAGTGGCTGGCTTTCAAAGTAAATTTTTAGTCAGTCCCTGCAAAGCTTTGAGATATCCAAATTTGGCTCGGGTATAATGCGTAGTGGACGATGGTCACTCGGAGGTCCACGCAAAATCGCTGAACAACAAAGAGGAAAGCTACACGATACTATTCATTGACAATATGCTTTCGTAGGCATAGGCCAAATGGATACTTGTGTTACTAAATATAAAAATAAGAGTAGATAATTAGCATTCATAAAGTGTGGTGCTCTGTCCAATAACAGCAAGGTCCCAATTCATAAGCATTTTTGTTGGTTAGAAATCTTCACCCTGCTTCTTCCCACCACACAACCTTTGCATAGGCAGATTCAAACAGGCGAACAATTATTTTATTAATTTTTAATATCACCCATCCTTCCTTCATCTTTCTCTATGGCGTATCTAACTCTAGAGAGTGTATTGATTGTGCTTGTTTGAGTCGATAGAAGTAGTGCTTGAAGGCTCTCCGAACTTAGCTTTGATGTCTTTTGAAAATAAATTTAGTGGAAAGAGGGTAAATGTGTTTCTGATTCTCTGTCAAAGTTTTCGTATACTTTGAATAATGAATGATCATTTGTTCTCTCCGAGGTGGCCACAATTCAAGATCGAAAGATTTATAAATCATACAGCCAAGTCTTCCAAATATTACAGAGAAACAAGGCGATGTCAATATTATAGAGTATGGCCAATTTGTGTGATTTATTAAATTAAGATCTCCTTTCGTCTGCTCAGCCGTTGACTTCTTCGCTTGAGAACGTTCACCGTTGTGGGTATTGTTTTTGACTCTTCTCGAGGTTAAGTGCGAGGGCATTTCTTTTTATACGATAGATGCCAAAATCAGAGAGAAGTATATAGAATCCATAACCTGACATGGAGAATGCTAGGGGTCGTTTTTAGCTCCTACACCCTTCATGCTGACATCACTTGGGAGAAGCTTATTTTAGAGGGAGTCGATTTAGGCGCCTTGTTAGTCCTCACCAGCACCTAAAATAGGCTCCCTGCTATTGTATGGGAGGCCAGGTAGTTACTTAAACGAGGTTGTCACTTAAAAAAGGTGGGTACTTAAACGAAAAGGTCACTTAAGCGAGGTAGTCACTTATAATGAATGAATGGCTTCTAATTCTACTTTCGAATCCACGATAATGGCCCAATGATTGGCAGCTGTTCCGTATTGCTGCACTAGCTGTGGATCACTGATTCACTGGTGATAAGATGCGGGAAAAAAGAGTAATGAAAACGCGATTCTTGTTGCCGGCCATATTGGAATATTATGTCGTCCAATTTATTTCAAATTCGGTCGGGGGCGGTAGAGCGTGGTAGTTTGGAGGCGTTCTCTTCGAAAACTGTGGAGACTTGATGAGTTCAGCGACTTGTATTGTAAGTTAGCTCAGAGCAAAAGAATTGAATTACCTGGACATGTACTTCCGGAGCAGTGAAAGTAGAGGGTGATGAAATGTCCTAAAGACTGAAGTCGCGAAAGAACTGTTCATGTGCTGACAGAACAAGACAACGCGATTATCGAAGCCGTTATATCCATAACACCGAAGCTTTGGGCCTCTCACGACCAAGAATGAGCCGCGCGCTTACTCGATACTCTATCCTCTTTGGAGCTAGCCACGGAGAAAGACATGTTTCACAACTCGGTCTACTTCAAGTAACAAGAGCCCCGAAACACTCCTTAGACATGAAATGTGCGAGACAGGCCGTCTTGGACCATTCAACGTCTCATAGCCACGTCCCATTCGCGCCATTTTCCCTCATCGACTGATCGTCTTGGCCTATCAATATCGTAAGACCAGATATCATATACTTTCAGAGTGGCTTTGTCGGCAGCAAGCTCTTGGGGATACGTCGTGATTCCCTTGTCCATCTCGTGGTAGAAGTCTCCTCGATATGGTCGCCATCCAAAATACATCTTCGTATATTCCCAATACTCTGGGAACCATCCGCTGAATTCCCAGTCAATAATGCCTGTTATCTTCCTATTCTTTACTAGAATGCTTTCAGGTGACATGTCTGCATGAGTGAACTTCGTGACATAGGAATCGGATTTGTTGTGAACATCTGTGACGTCCTTGTCAAAATTCCATAAATCCATGGAATCGCCTCTTCGCACAAATTTGTGGAAGTCGGCTATGCTCTCAAAGGGACCGAAGCGTCTACCACCTAGGCGGTGATCATAGCTAGATCCTAGCATCAATGAGCCAACAAATCCTTCTTTGCGCGGTTGGAGACATCGAAGCTGTAATAGATATCCTGCAAGCTCCGTGACTAAGTCTGATTTTTCCTCCAGTGTCAAAGTTTGCCAAGTCACGTTTAGGGCAGAACCCGGAAGCAACTCTAGAACCAAGTCCTGAGATCCATCTTCACGATTGTATACACCGAAGACTTTGGGAATCGGAATCGTGGTATTTTTTCGAACAAACTCCATCGCCTCAGACTCAGTCGGATGACATTGATACTTAATCAGTTGGTTGCGACCGATATACCTAACCTTTGCTCCTGATCCCTTGAGCATCTTGTAAGTTTTGTTTCCTCTCCATAGACTGTCCCATAATCGAAGTCTAACCCATAGAGGAAGGTGTTTGTTGCTCGTCACCATATTCGCGCCGTGGTGGGTGCCTTGTCGTAACGTCGACGTAAGATTGAGCTGGCAAGGCTGCGGTTCGAGGAGAAGTGCCGTAGAGATTGTAGAAATGTGATAGCGTTTGCGACGACGAAGGAGTCGGATAAGCGGAGGTTATGCTTGTTCCTCGACTGAAAATAGTACCGGTATGACACTTCCATGGGAATTAAAGCCAAAGTTGAGGACACTAGGGAACTTATTTATAAGAATACTTTATTATTAATTCAATATTTAGAATTATAATTATTTTATATAGTTTTTGATACAAAAATAACAATCGTTTATTATTAGTATATTAATACTAGTATAAATTATCGAAAGAAAAAGATAATTATATAATATTATTAGTTCAAGTTATAAAAGAAGTTAATAAACGATTTAAAAGAATTTCGAAATAAAGAAATAAAGAGTTATATAATAATATAAATCATATTATATACTCGAATATTCTAACATCATAGAAGCTCTAATATCTATAATATTATAAAGAAGTAAAGATAAATAGAAAATTATAAAAACGATCTTTATATAATTAATATTTAATATAAGAACTATTTGATTATAGTATTATTAATAAGTAGTTATAATCAAGGAGATTAAAACAAAATTTTATTTAAATATATATAATAGATAT